GCCGGAAGGCAGCGACCGAGCAAAAGCCGAGCGACGTAGGCCTTGCAGAAAGTCTTATTTTGCTTTTTTTACCAAGTACTCCGGTTGCCTAGACCGGGGGCCTGGAACCGTTCAGCTGCAGTCCTTATCCCCTAGACTGACGCAACTAACACGACCGAGAGGTCTTTAAAGGGGAAATTTTTTTAATGCGTCGCCAAGCAAATGTCTGATAGTCACCGTTTGCCCTACATGCCCGAGCCACGAGCTAAAGAAGAGCTCTCGAGTTCAAGGCAGGTAGCTACAGGCCTCAAAAACGATGAAACCAACGAAATATGCCTACATATATCGTCGGTTGTCGGCAAAATGCCCACAACGCAGATTTGCTTCGTTGGCAGATACACGAATTCCCAAACGATGCAAATCTGCACTGTCTGTCATATATAAGAATAGCTTCCAGGCATCTTCTACGCCTTGACATCATTGAAACATTTAAATAATAAGTGGAAATATGCGCTCAATTCCTTCTGCGCGTCAGCCTTGTCGTGATCTGCCTGAAAGCTTTCTCACATCTGACGAAGCAAAACAGCAAACATTTCGCATAGAAAGTCCTATGCCTTGAGGAGTTGAGTCATCAAGACTCAACATGAAGCTGTTGCTGCTTCTTGGCCTGGCTGTATGAGCATTTTGAAACAATGAGCCGAGTAGCAACGTCGTCGGGCAGCGCCACAACCGGATGTAGTCGCTTGAGGTGTTTGTCTGTATGCATCATTCCCAAGGCTGCGAGGGCAAAGAAAGTATGGAAAGCGTCAGCGATATCTCCTGGGCGATCANATGCATCATTCCCAAGGCTGCGAGGGCAAAGAAAGTATGGAAAGCGTCAGCGATATCTCCTGGGCGATCAGCGAAGCCCCCAGTTGTAAGGTCTTGGGCGAGCAAGATGAATTCGCTGAGGCGACGGCTGTCAACCCAGTTCTCGTAGCCCAGCACCTGCAGAGCTGCAAATATCCAAAATGAATAACAAACATCGGGAGCCTTCTCCGGCCGTCCGTTGAATCCTCCGCCACGGGTTTGGCGGTTCAGCAGCCACTGCGCCGTTCGCTGTCTGTCAACTACCCACAAACCTCCGCACAGGTCAAGTGCCGCTAAGCAGCAGAAAGCGGATGCTGCATGCGACTCCCCTCCTGGTACCCAGCCGAAACCTCCATCTTCATTCATCAGCTGCTGCACAAACCGCACGGCGGCGCCCGCCTCTGCTGCTCGCAGCTCCCCCAGCAGCCACAAACACGCAACGCCGCAGTACACAAAACGACTATCTGCCTCCCCCCACTCGTCCGCCATGAAGCCGCCACTCGGGAGCTGCAGACTTCGCACCCAGGCAGCAGTCTTGGCAGGGGAAGGCAGTAAGTGGAGTCGGCCTAAGCCCGACAAGAGCAGCAGTGCGTAATGCGTAGACGTAATATTCGCCTCCTGATGCAAATCCGAGCTGAAACCGCCACATGAACATAAGCAATTCAACACAAACTCGCACACGGTGTCCTCCCGAGACTCCAATAGATAATCCAAAGAAGGAACCGAAGCACATTCTGAACTGTCGCCGCCCTCTTTTGTGCTGCTGTTGCTGCTGTTGCCATCGCTGCATCTCCCCTCGCCTGGGTTTCCATTCTGGCTGTCTTTCGTTTCGGTGTTGCTGTGTTCGTGGGTCTTTTCTTGTGATGAGGCAGCACGGCTGCCGTGGCTGCAGGCGGCTGCATTCTGCTGCAGCAGCCGTTTCGTCTTTTCGCTGCGAAGTCCGAGCAGCCAAAGTGCATTGGAAGCCCAGTATGCAGCGCCCATTTTGAGCGAAACGCCGAAGAAAGCCTCGATAGTGAACGGATCGGCGCCCAAGCCCAAAAGGTACTGGGCATGCAACCGCGCGTGCAACGAGGGCCAAGAAGGATCTAACGAGATTGTTTCCGGGACTACAAGTGCTGCTGACTTCTCTATTATGCGCGAAAGTTCGGATGCTGCCGCAGTGGCGGACACAGCTGTGCCTGCGGCGGTTGCAGACGTATCTGGGGGCCCCCAAGAAGGCAGAATGAAAGCGCGTGGCTGGCCCTTGTTGGGGGCCCCTACTGTTCCCGCATTCATATTAGCCGCCCCAGAAAGGGCAATTTCCTCCTTCATCGCCATGCAGGAGTAGAACTGGTCAGTTCTCTACAGTCAGTGTTCAGGCTCGTGAACAGCCCGCCAAGAGCGGGATCAAACGTATTAAAATGCCGTTTATAGAGGAATTCCAGATATATAATCAATCTAAATTATGATGCTTTTAAAAAGACATTGTTTTTCGGCTGCCGACGAAGCAAAGAAGCCCCCGAGACGGAGAATATATGAACCGCGGTGTGTTGCGGCGGAAGCAGCAGTAACCTTGGGTTTCTGATGGTATACATGACTCTGAAGTTCCCCAAGCAAATTATAATGCTAATTTAAAGAGGAAAAGCTGCACATGCAGAACAGCCCCCAAGCAACTGAAGAAACCATGGAAGCCGCCGACGGCAGCCGAAAGCTGGTTTGGCCACGGCGCGACTGGCTTGCAGTAGATTTTGTGTATTTCTTGTTAAATAAAAAATTCTTATTTGTATTTGAACTATTTTGTCTGCGGTGAAAACGAGGTTTCTTCTCTTCTGCTGCCGACAGTAGGCGTTGCTGCACGCTGAGGCCTGTACGGCGCACCAAACGTGAAGCTGCTACAACTGCTTTCTGTGTATTCTTCGTGACCATGAACTCTATCGATAGCCAGCCAGTGCCGCTCGGCGGCAGTCGAGTGCCGGAGTCTATGGGTGGCCCCAGCTGCCAGTCATGGCAAGAGCTGGCGGAGCAGCCGCCTCAGCCGAGCGAAGGCTATGGAAAAGCATGTGATATGATCGTTGCTTTGCGCGAGCAGATCGGCTCCATGAAAAAACAACTTTCGAACCTCGCTCTCCCCATGAAGACCTACATCTATAGCACAGGTAATCCCTAGTGTGCAGGCGCGGTAGCAGCAGCCGCAGCAGGAGTCCTTCCCCTTCCTTCCTTTCCCCTGTTTACCTGCAGCTCCATTTCAAGATATAAAGGACCGTTTCTTGCTGTTCGTCTGCACTAACTTTCATTAACTCTCATATATTGCACTGTGCTGCTGCGGTGGTGTGCCAGATGCACCTGACCGGACAGCGCTCCAGCGCGCGTTGAGCTCCGTGGATGACGCAGCAGCAGCAATAGGCGCTGCCGCAGTAGCAGCAGCAGAAGCAGCAGCAGCAGAC